AACAACAAGAATACTTTTTTGGGCAACCACAAGCTACACCACCAAGTGGCCGAGGCAGAGGCTGTAGACAACAAACATCTCCAGGTGGTTTGGGTTTTGCTCAATTTTTTAACTATGGATTAGGTGCAGGTTCTTCTAAAGGAAAATCTGATGATTGGTTCAATTGCTCCAAAACCGATATACCATCTATCGTATGGACCAAAGAAAACGCACCTGCCATGATCAAGAAGCAATCCCTAGCTGAAGTAGCTCACTGGGTAACTGAAAAGAATAAGGAAGAGCAGAGAAAGAGAAAGAAGATGGATATGTGGTTTGATTTGTAAAAACTCACTGGAACCACAGGAAATTCTCTTGGCCACGGTAGAAGCTTCAATGAATGCATTGAATGGATCGAAGCTGGAGTTCTACCGGGAACAACTCTAAAAGAAGCATATGAAAATTACCTCGCCGGACAAGTCAACAAAGAATTCTTCTATGAGCGTATCAAGAATGATGTGTACAAGATGAGGGAACACATCAAAGATGTTCTGAAAAATGGAAGAAGTAATAAGAGGCAAAAGAGGTAATCTGATCCTATGATTTTCGAAACTTTTTTGTAAAACTACTGTTTCGAAATTATCAAGTATTTTTCCATATTATGATCGTACAAGTTATGTTAATTTCCTAAAGTGGTCTATATCTGTTTTTGATATCTTAACTTGTAATTAGTATGTGAATTAAAAAGACAAGCATGTAAAACGCATAACAAAAGAGAAAAATGACTAGAAATAAAAATGCAATATGCGTATTAGGAACTTGTCTAAAATTAATTCACGAGTCAATTTATTTTCCCTAGAAAATTCTTGTTAAACTCATCATGGCTTTGTCAAATAAAATTGAGCAAAAATATTTTTTGAAAAGACTTAAAGTCAATGACTGAGTATAGGATTTTTGGCATTATCAAAAGGGGGGAAATTGTTAGGAATATATTGTAATAGATTTTGATATGCCAAATTGTATTTTAGAATCCCCAATTTTATTTGTTAAGTCTAGGCGTGTCATAGACCATGAAAGGAAAATTAACAAATATAAAGAAAGGGAAAAATACGAAGAAGAAGATGTATGCTTATGATATGTATACAATATAAGCCCACACGCCCAACTCAAAGAATAAGTCATACTGATGAATCTCATACGAAGAAACGAGAAGCAAACCAAAATTCATGAAGTTATCTTGAAGATCAAGCATCTATGGAAAGAAAGAAGTACAACAAGAGGATTGCTATAATGACCAATAATTTGTACAGTCAAGATGGATGATAGCTTGATGTATAAACCACAAGGTCTTAGGTTTAAAACTCACTCCTTACAATTTTATAAAGAAGCCTTAAATCAGTTTGAAAAGAGGTTTCGAAACTAAGAAGGAGATGAAGTAGGAGCTGAGGTTTCAAAAGAGGTGTTGGAGCAGAGGTTCGAAATCAATTAAAAGTCAAATATGAAGTATGAGATGAAGTAATTAAAAGTCAAATATGATGTAAGAGCTGAAAAGAGCTGAAAATCAATTAAAAGTCAAGAGCTAAGTATGAGATGAAGTAAGAGCTGAAGTTTCAAAGGCTAGAGCTATGTATGAGATGAAGTAAGAGCAAATAAGAGCTTAGTATGAGATGAAGTAAGAGCTGAAGTTTCAAAAGTAAGATTCTCACCATCAAAATGATACCCAGGAAGTAAGAGCTTAAAAGTCAAATATGAAGTATGAGATGAAGTAAGAGCTGAAAAGAGTTGAAAATCAATTAAAAGTCAAATATGAAGTATGAAGTAAGAGCTGAAAATCAATTAAAAGTGAAATATGAAGTATGAGATGAAGTAAGAGCTGAAGTTTCAAAGGCTATTATAGTAAGAGCTGAAGATGGAAATGAAGTTCCAAAGCTATATATAGTAAGAGCTGAAGTTGGAGAAGAAATTTCAATCAAGGATTGAATTCTCAGCATCAAAATGATACCCAGATCAAGAGATTGAATTCTCACCATCAAAATGATACCCAGATCAAGAGATTTCATTGGCCGAAACACTTCATCAGTAGCCATACAGAGAGAATAAAATACACAGAAGATGAAAGTCCCAGAAGGCGCATGATCTACATCAGAATTATTTTAAAGCCCTTCACGTGAAGATAAGATCTGCATCAGAAATATTTTAAGTATCTTCACATGGACTACATGCTAAGCAACGGCCAAAAACTCAGAGATATTATCTTTAATATGATCTTCTAAGAAAGCTACAGATCTTCTGCAAAAGGCTACAAGAATTCAAATCTGAGATTTAGAATTCAAAATTGAGATCTACAATTCAAATTTGAGATTGTCTTTTTCCAACGGACAACTTCTCAAGACCAGCTATAAAAGGATGAAGAATGAAGCAGATCAACTCACTTTCCATACTTCCAACACAAGCAACGAACAGCATATACGAACAAGTGCTATACTCAAAAGTGAGAAAATATTGAAGTGAAAAAAACACTCAGAGAGCTCAAAGAGAAAATATTCAAGAGTGTTAAATTCTTCATCATTGAGAGATTTGCTGCATATTGAAGATCCATTCAAGAAGTCTCAAAAGTTGGAAAGTCAGTGAAACTTGTTTTTCTACAAACAAGTGAATCAACAGTGTTGGAGAACACTAGACGTGATTAGTGCGGGCTTTGTGATCAAAGCACTAGTTCACGGGATACGTCGAAGACGAAGGGAAAGTAGCACGGAGTTGTGAGATCCGAAACAACAGTGTCGGAGGCACTAGGCGTGATTGGTGTGGGCTTGGTGATCAAAGCACCAGATCACGGGATACGTCGACCGGATCGTGGAAGACGGGGTGAAAGTAGCACGGAGCTGTGAAATCCTGGAAAGTAGCACGGAACTGTGAAATCCGAAGCAGCAGTGTTGGAGGCACTGAGCGTGATTAGTGTGGGCTTAGTGATCAAAGCACTAGATCACGGAAATTCATTGTATCTAGGAACCAAGAAGTGGTGGATATAGTGAATTGCTCTTGGCTGATAAGAGCAAGTGGAGTAGGAGGATTACATCATCTCGCGAACCACTATAAATTGCCTTGTGTCATTTACTGCTTTATTTACTTACTGCTATCACGTGGATACACTTGACACAATCACACAACTCGTATTTATTTATTCCGCTGCGTACAAGACTCTAACAATCTAGTTAAGAGTTTTGATATCTCTGTTGCCTTAGCAATTGTTGCATTCGCGAAAAAGTTTAAAAGTCTATTCACCCCCCCCCCCCTCTAGACTTTTACCACACCCCTTTGGGACCAACAAGAATATCAAGATGATGGATACCACATCAACTCTAGACAAAATTCTAGACTATGGCCGAAATCCAAACGATAAAAAGGGTCTTGGTTTTGAACGAGGAGAATCTTCGAAAAATATTCCTGTGTTTTTCAAAGAGGGTATGACAATTGGTACACCAGCTCACAGTTATGAACTAGGTCAGTCATCCCGGTCTGTCCAGATAAATGAAAAAAGGAAGGTACGTGTTCGAATTGCAGACACTAACTTTGGCATAGTAGCATTTCAATCTCAGTACTCACAGTTCAAAACTAAATATGCCAGAGTCAGATAATATACACCCATCTGTCACTACTGTCAAACAAAAGGTCACACTCGACCTGAGTGTTATTTTTTCTACAAAGATCAAAGAAAGGAAAAATATCAGAGCAAGACTATTACACCGTTCACAAGATAGGTTTCGGTCAGGAAGTCAGAAGTAATATGCTATCCGACTATAGTTCTGACTGCTTCTACGACTGAAGCGAGATGGTATTTCGACAGTGGCTGTTCCTGACATATGACAGGAAATGTCAAGTGTCTTATAGCTGTTCAACCTAGCATGGTTCAGTTACATATGGAGACGGACAAAAAGGTAAAATAGTTGGAAAAGGTACCCTAAATGTACCAGGTTTACCTCATTTAGAAGAAGTTATCTAAAAGCAAACCTTATTAGCATCAGTTAGTTGTGTGATCAAAACTGGAATGTGTGCTTCAATCGTAACTGTTGTAGAGTCAGTGACAAAGCCGATCAACTAGTAATGGAAGGAACACGATCCTCAGACAACTGTTATGTTCTGACTAACGAAAATGCTTGTCGCCTATCAAAATCTGATGAATCAAAACTATGGCATAGACGACTGGGTCACATAAACTTCAGAGATATGGATAAAATGATCAATCTAGATGCAGTGCGAGGGATGCCTAAGATCATAATAGAACAGGAAGGATTCTGTGGTGTATGTGCCATTGGGAAACAAATAAGGATTCCTCACAAAGCAGTAAAAGTTATCACTACTGAGAGATGTCTAGAACTGGTTCATATAGACCTCATGGGACCAACACAGACTGAAAGCATTGGCGGAAAGAAATACATATTTGTGTGTGTAGATGACTTCTCTCGGTTCAGCTGGGTATATTTCCTAAGAGAAAAATCTGAAGCCTTCAATGCCTTTAGAACTTTGTGCATAGGGTTCAAAAAGAAAAGAACGAGCCTATAATAAAAATTCAAAGACTGAGAAGTGATCATGGAAAAGAATTTGAAAACTCTTTATATTCAGATTTCTACTCCGAGAATGGTATAGCTCATGAATTCTCAGCTCCCAGAACAACTCAACAGAATGGTGTGGTGGAAAGAAACAATCGAACCTTGCAGGAAATGGCTAGAGTTATGTTACATGCATCACATCTGCCACAGCGTTTCTGGGCTGAAGCAATACATACAGCCTGTCATACAGTAAATAGAGTCTATCTCAGACCAGGTACGACCAAAACACCATATGAGATCTGGAAGGGAAAGAAGCCGAACTTGAAGTATTTTCATGTGTTTGGGACAAAGTGTTATGTGCTGATCGATAGGGAACAAAGAGGGAAGTTTGAACCTAAGAGCGATGAGAGCATCTTTCTTTGATACTCTCCAAATAGTCGAGCTTATCGAGTTTACAACAAAAGAACTCAATCTGTAATGGAATCAGTAAATGTTGTTATAGATGACAATCCTGAAGAATCTGTAGAAACATCAGTACTTGATCCAGAGACAGATCCTCCTCTCAGTGAGTTAAATACAGCCGAGGACACCAGTCTGCCCAAAACACAAGATTCGTCAGATGAAGATCAAGACAGTTCTGAATAGGAGACCATTCTTACTGATGATGTGGGTAAGAACAAGCCCACCAGAACTCAGAAAAATCATCCATCAGACAATGGGTACCTGCATGAAGATATCTATGTGGCTCAACCGAAAGGATTTGAAGATCCAGATCATCCATCTCATGTCTACAAGCTCAGAAATGCCCTCTATGGGCTCAAACAAGCTCCAAGAGCATGATACGAACGACTGACACAGTATCTACTACATCATGGATATAAGCGAGGGAGTGTCGACAAAACATTGTTCGTAAAAACCACTGGAATTCATGTCACCATTGCTCATATTTATGTAGATGATATTGTCTTTGGCTCTACTTTACAAAAGTACACTGATGATTTAGTAAAGGTCATGAAGGAAGAATTTGAGATGTCCATGGTAGGCCAACTGATATATTTCCTAGGGCTGCAAGTTAAACAAAGTTCTGAAGGGTACTTTATCTCACAGGAAAAGTACGCTAAGAATTTGGTCAAGAAGTTTGATCTGGAATGGTGTAAACCATCCAGGACACCTATTTCTACCTCCACGAAAGTATCTAAAGATGACATTGGTGCATCAGTGGATAACACAGTCTACCAAAGTCTGATATGATGTCTGCTGTACTTAACCGCTAGTCGGCCAGACATAATGTTTAGTGTTGGAATATGTGCAAGGTATCAATCTGATCCAAAAGAATCACACCTAATAGCTGCTAAACGAATTTTGAAATATATAAAAGGAACAATTCAGTATGGGCTATGGTACTCCAAGGACAGTGGACTTAGTCTGGTTGCATACTGTGATGCTGATTGGGCAGGAAATATTGATGACAGAAAGAGTACTTTGGGTGGATGCGTCTTTGTTGGTAAGAACTTGGTATCATGACTGAGCAAGAAACAGAATTCAATTTCCTTAAGTACTGCAGAGGCAGAATATATAGCCGCTGGCTAATGTTGCACTCAGTTAGTGTGGATGAAACAGATGCTTTTGGACTATGGGCTTACTCAAAGAACTATGACACTCTACTGTGATAATGTCAGTGCAATCAATATCTCGAAGAATCCAGTTCAACATTCTAGAACGAAGCATATTGATATAAGGCATCACTACATCAGAGACTTGGTAGAGTCCAAGGAGATAGAGTTGGAATACATTCAAACAGATAAGCAATTGGCTGACATTCTGACTAAGCCCCTGGATGCAAATCAATTTGAGATTCTCAGATCCGCTCTGGGAATCTGCAGGTTTGACTAATAAGCCAGTAAGTTATACAGAAGGAGACTACATGGTGTTAAATTTGCGGGTCAAATTTAAGCCTTTGACTTCTTTTTAAATCACCCTTCTGTTTTGTTAAGAAAATATCTTAACCTAAGTTACCATAAAGTAATTAGCCTTTTTCGAATTTCAAATCTTCCACCCTTCCGTTTCATTCCTAAAAAGGAGGTATACCGTTGCGTCAATCACATCAGCTCTGCATGTAATCTGACATGCCACATTGAATAGGGATCTTCGCCATTGGGATTATATATGTTTTGGGTCAAGAGTGAAGGAAGAAGAGTTCAAAAATTATCCGTGAGCTACACCTATTTTTCTCTCTGATCCTCTACCTAGGGTTTTCCTTCTCGCATACCCAAATCACACAACAATGGCGGACGCTGTGAAAAGCGTCATAATCAAGCTTGGGAGGAAGATCCATTCACCAGAAACAGCCACTAAGCATGTAAAAACCCTACTCCAGTTAGCTATGAAGAAGAAGTTAAAGCTTGACTCTGCCCTACGCGATGAAATCATAGTCACCGTACTTTCCGATTATCCGGAGTTTTATGCAGACTGGTCCGAGGATGACACCAGTGAGATCTTGTTACTGGCCTCCGAAGCGAGTGATGAGGTTAGCCCAGCATCTATTCCAGAGCCCGAAGATGGAAATCGTGCTGGGGCGTTCCTTCAATACTTTGCTCAAAGGGCTCTTAAATCAGACGAGGTCTCACGTCGTCGAGCAGCAACTCAACCCCTGTACCAACAGGCTGCCCAGGACGAAACCAAACACCGGCTTGAGATTCTTCGTAACAGGTCAAATACTTATAAATCCCCTATTGAAATCTCACCTGATAAGCCTGATGATTTAGTTTCTGATGCTATTGCGTCTGTTGTGCCTAATGTTCAATCTGATGATGTGAATGCATTAATATTTGTGAGGTCCTCTGTGTCGAATGATTCTCCTTGTATCCCCTCTGAAAAATATGATCCTTTGAAAGATGTCGTTAATGATGTGTCTGATAAGAAAGATAAATCCTCGGATTTGGCCATCAATCTGAGTTTGGTTGTTTACTCTGCTGATAAAGTTGCTCTGCCCTCTACTGAATTTGCTGCCAAGTGAGATCTGTCCATCTGAGAATCCCTCCAATTTGCCCATTGAAATTGAGATTGCCAGTATCTCGAGTCCCCGTGCATCTGATCAAATAGATGGGGTACTAGTTTTTACATCTTCATCCTTGGCTGAGAGGCTAGAACATGTCTGGCATTGTGCAGGTTTGCCCTCTGCCTCCATTCCAGAACCGTATCGAGTTATCCATCCTACTGAGTCCTTTAGTGAAGACGAGAAGATTCTTGCTGAAGTGTATGGCTCACAAGCCCATTTGTCTAAAACCCCTACTGTTGAAGCTACTGCGCATCCTGACTCAACCACCTTCAAGATTCGAGAAGTTACCAATCTTCTTGGAAGTTCTTCTGCCCAAGTTTCTGACACAAGCCACTCTGTGTCTCCAAGCCCTTCTGCTCATTCCCCATCCAAGGAGATGAGAAAATCCAAATGAAAGAATGTCCCTGTGAAAGTTGTTATTGAATCAGGTGATGACAATCTTGATGTGGATCAACCTGAGAAGAGAGGAAAGTCTGGTGAATCAATCAAAACTGAAGCTAATCCTCCTGTTCAACAAGTGTTCAAAACCCTGCGGTCATCCGTCAAGCACAAAGGTCCTGCTGTGGTTCCCACATCTTTTACCCGGAAGGGGAAACCAACTACTCGCTCCAGAGGACAAAGTATTACACATGAGGTTCAACCTGCTGCTGAGAATCCTGACACATCTATCTACAAACCTCAGTTTGTCTCCTCTATTGCTCAAGGAAAATGTTCCACGATGATCCGGAGAGATCTTATTGTTCAGAGGTCTGTTGATGAACACCAGTTGAACTCTGTTTGTGACATCTTGCCCTTGCTGAGTGTAGTGGGCCACTTAAAGACTGTCTCATCCATTTGTCCTTATTCGAAACTTCTGACTTATGAGTTCTACTGTAATCTTAATGAGGAGATTTACAATTTGACCGGGACGCGACCCATGCAAATCTTCATTCGAGGTAAATGGTATGTCTTCGGACCTGACATGACTAATGAGTATTATGGTTAGAAAGGTGTTCACGAAGAAGAAATCACGGACTGGGATTTGGTGGCAAAGACCCTCACAGGTGGACAAACTGATACATGGCCTACTGGTGACACTGATACTCTGCCTAGCTCGCGCCTCACCTTCAAATATGTCATCTTGCACCGTCTTGCTCTTCACAACTGGCTACCATCTACTCACTTTCATATAGTCGGCAAGCAATTGGAAGCCCTCTTGTTTCGAATTGGGACAAAAATGTCTATTGATCTGGGATCCTGGATCTTTTATCATACCCTCACGTTGATCCATCGGCGAGAGCAGAAGGTACGGTTTCCTTTTCCTATTATGATATTTGGGGTTCTAACATCACAGGGTCTTGAGCCAATGCCTAGTGAGGTTATTAGTCCGACTCTTCTTTATACTGTTGATCCTTGTCTTCTGACTGGAAATCACATTCGCGATGTTACACCGGTGAATACTCCTCCCTCTGCTGATGCTGATACAATGGCTGATGATTCGCCACATGCGAAAGATGTCCAACTCTCTATTCGTCTGAAGGCCCGGGTCTCTGAACTTGAGAGTGTTCATGGAATCATTGCGAAACAGCTTACAGGGGCCCGTACTGAATTGGCTACCGTTCTTCTCCGCTTGAGCTTGACTGAATCTGTTGTTGCTGATGTTGCTAGGTCTGAGAGTGAGGACCCCTCCAATGCTTGACTGTGCTTTTACTATCATTGGCAAAAAGTGGGAGTGTGGAACTCAGGGGGAGTGTTTTTTATGTTTTTGTACCTTCTGACCCTGTCTGGGCGACTGATTGTGATGGCACCACCATATGAAGAATGTTGTTTTGTTCCAGCATAACTTGTATGCTGTGTTTTTGTTATGAATTGTAATTAGATCTTTGACTTTTATGCAATTGCTATCTTAGTCCTATCTAGTTTGTGTTTTTATGTTTAGTCGAGTTGTTTTGCCAAGTAATAGCCAAAGGGGGAGTTTGTTAGTGTTTTAATTGCTCCAAAAAACCCCAACATATAATTGGTAATATTATTATGGCAAACAAAGATAGGGTTAGCTTGGTGTCGATTTTGTTCTACAGAGGACTGATTGATCAGATACAGCAATAGAGGGACTGACACTGAAGATCTGTTTTAGGAAGATGTTTCCTTTGGAAAGAAGATTAGCGGATCTGTCTTGGAAAGGTATGGACCAAATCTTTAAGATTACGTTCTTCATTTTTTGTCCTACCATCTACAATCAGAGATATCTATGGAGAGTGTTCTTACTATGGAATTATAAGTACCCTCATTTGTCAAGATTTAGGGTTACGCTTTTTAGAAGAAAACAACTCTCTGAACTATACAGAAGATCATATCTTTGATTATCATGCCTCTTCTCAAGACAATTTGTTCTTGGTGATTATGATGAAGAACTTGAGAAGAAATATCACTGCTTAAACGAAAGGACGCTAAGATCACACAGTTGTGGGAACAACATTGAACTACGTCACTAAAGTGGACTGCGTCAGAGTTAGCTCTCCAAGTGAAGGGATTTCATTGGACTTCTGTATGCATGGCTCTCCAACTTCAACAATCCACTAAACCTGTGTAGACTGGGTACATACCTTGTGTGGGGCACTTGGGTGAGATTATTGTTTCTCTACCTTTGTACATTGGATTATGAGTTAGTGGATTGGACGCCTCTGTGATCGTCCCCCAGACGTAGATACACACCGTATCAAACTGGCTAAAGATCTTGTGTGTTGATTTGTGTCTTTTACTCTTTCTACAAACTTCTCAATGATCTATCTAACTAACTAACATCATCGTTGAATCAGTCAGTCCATTTCATCAGTGGTTTAATCTGGTTAATTTGATTAAAATGAGGAAATGCAAAATTACATTCTCGATATTACTTTGAAGTCCAAGTGGAAAAAAAGAAAAAAATGGTCTCAAACAAAAGTGCATGTCCCTTTTCCACACTTTAGGATTTTTACCGGGACTTGGGTGCATATGAAAATCTAAATCCTTTGTGAATGAATAAGTAGTCATTCAAGCATGTGCATATCAAAGAAAATTTCTTCCACACTTTTGAAATGAATCATAAGGGTGCAAAAGTCAAGGGATATAAAATTATCACCAAATGTAGTGCATATCCCTTATTGAAAACCATATGTCTTTGCCCCTTCTAATAGAAAGCTTCACAAAATTTTGTTAGTGACATAATAATATAAGCACAAGCATGGCTCATAAATGGGATGGGAAAGTTATTTACTACTACTTATTCTCTTTTTGTTTTGGTTTTTTGTTATGTTTTGTTTTGTTTTTTTTTGTTTTGTTTTGTTTTTGTTTTTGTTTTGTTTTTTTGTCTTTTGTTTTTGTTTTGTTTTTGTTTTGTTTTTTTTTTTTTGGATTTTTCAATAATATGAATAAACAATGTAAAAGAATCTAAAACCTAGAATCGTCCCTCATGAAAATTATGAATATAGATATGTCTAACTACTCCATG